ATAATAATGTTAAAGTGAAGCATGTGATAATAGTCATGTAACAAAATGTAAATGTTTTTATAAATGTAAACATTTAAAATATATTTGAACCCTTATATTTTTCATGAAATACACATTAATTTGAGATAAAAAATTATGGTTTGACACACAAGATTCTTATAATAGACTATGCCACATAAAAGGGGGAGACCATTCCGGTTAAACTGTGACTAAAATATAAAATTAATCATATCTAACAAAACTAGTTGTTAATTAAACATTAAATAAACATTCTTCGTAGTACAATAAAATAATAACATTGTAATTTGACTGACTTAAAAATCAGGAAGAGTTTTTGTTCACAAGACAATAAAACAATTAATGACTTATTGACATTAAAAGTAGTAGTAATAGTTAGTGTAGGCTATACTGACTATCTACCTTAAAAATAATACCTTCCTCTCAAATTTCACAAAAAACTGATGTTAAAAAGTGTAAGCTAAGATAATTTACAGTGAGTTTCTTAAATTTAATATGTGTATTTTTGCATTTTCGAATCAAATAACAATAAAATATACATAAAAAAAAGCACTTTCTGAATTCCAAGAGTATTTTACATAATTAGAAAGAAGACAAAATGAAATTAAATGTATAATCGTAGTTTTTGACGTAATGCTGACAGTTTTACAGTTTTAGAATAAAAACTTGTTTGTTTTTATGTGACGTAACTTGTTTTTTTTTTTAATAGGCCCTCTAGAGAGGAATGTATAATCTCACTTAAACTGGCATGCTGGTATTTCCCTGGGATAAACCAGTATGCCAGTTTTTATCATACAGATATATCTGATTTCATGTTTTCTCTGGATAGATCGGTATGCCAGTCATTCTGTGAAAATACAGTAATAATACTAAATTTACAACAGTATGTTAATATCATGAATATAAATATGGATTAACAACAAAATAGGAAAATAAGTGCATTTGTTTTATTTGTGATGTGGTTTACTACACAGACATTTAATGATTTAGATGAAAAGTTACTATAAAGGTAAAATATTGGGTTTTTGGATTAGTAACTCCATTACAAACTGATTTTTGATGAAACTTTTTTTTTTTTTTTTTTTGCATTCAATAAATAAATACTGAATAACTTATAATTGAAAAAAGAAGAGACATGAGGCAGAAAATTTTAAAAAATCAGAAATCATGGCATTTTAATTGTTAGTCAATTACCTATTTTTATCATTAGAGTTAATTCTCTAATTTTTAAATAATTTGTTCTTTCAAGGAAAGAACCCTACACAAACCTTAAGGGTGCCAGTGGATTTGGACTAATCTTTTTGATATTTTGTAGTTCTAGTGGCATGATCAAAAATCTCAATAGACATGAAGTTAAAAAATGAAAGGTTTTGAATTATTGAGCATCTGAGATGCAAAAATGGCATACCGTATATTTTTCCCGCAGATAACATGATAGTTGAATCATAAAAAATGGTCCCCAAAATCCGGGGTCATCTTATAGGGCAGATACAAAAAAAAATAGATTGAAATTTATATAAATTTAAAACCATTATAAAAAACCGACAAACTGCAATTATTTACTGGTAGAGAGTAGAGTATGTCCACAAAATAGAATAGCCCATATGACTTTTTGTGAATAGTCAAGGTTATTACCCAAATGCCTGAATCAGTGTGAATGTTTGCAACAATAGCAAGGCAGTACTGCCAGATGCAAGAAAATAAAATTTGTTCACTCGAAAAATTACAAATAGGACATAATTCTATATATGCTATACAGTATTATTGTCCAGATGATTGCTGATCTAAACTAAATTCATAGGCCATTGATAGTTTGGGGTCGTCTTATAGGACAGATATATGTTAAAACTATAAAACTTTGACAAAAATTTATACCTTGTCTTATCTGCGGAAATATATGGTAATCTGTGCATATGTTGTGAATCCTTAAATCCTTATCATTTCCAAATATAAGGCAATATGTTTTCAAATGTTATTGATGTCCACCACTTTATCTTTCCACATGAGTTTGATTCTTACACCATTTGTTTTTGTACAATGCTGCACTGTACAATGCATGGGAGCTCTTCTGGCAAGAGATTCACTTCACTAACCAAGACTTAATAATGGTTGAAAAGTCTGTTAGAACATTTTGGGATGATAAATTATTGAATAAATAGGTATTTGTTTTTTTTTTTTTTTGTTCTTTGTTGGTAAATCCCCATATTATTGTTTTTTCTTTGCTTTTGTATTGTCTAATATCTTAATATAAAAGGAATTTATATTGAGGTAGAACAAATGAGAAAATAATTGATAATTCTTTGTTATTAACTTCCATAATTCTAAAATAGATTGATACAGCTTTCAGAAACTGTTTGCAATGAATTTTTTTCACAGAAAATGGCTTGAATAAATGGAGATGAAAATTCTGACAAACTTATCACTGTTCAAATATGTGAAGGATTTTTAAGATCACTCTTGTAATATATCTGGTTAGAATATTCATAACTTGCAGTCATCTATTGCAGAACATCAATAATGCTTGAAAACGTGACCAGAGGGTCGGCACTTCTTTAGTGCCTCGTCAGGACTGACACTACTGTGTCTTCTAGTATAGACACAGAAAGACACAGAAACCTTAACGACCTCAAATTCGGAATTCATGCGAGCGGTCACATGTGCAGGCGATCGGATTCAAGATGGAGGAGGATTGAGAGACAGTGTATCAGAAGTGAATCACTCAGATACCAGATTAACAATCAATAACAATTTAATTTCAACAGAAAGGAGTACATGATACACTACAATAGACATATCAGGATATATATATATCCTGATATGTCCTGATATACATATATCTATCCTGATATATATATGTATATTTAGCCTATTAATCTAGTGGTTGTGAGAGAGAGAGTTTACGTGAGATACGCACCTCGATAAATACCTTGTCGAGAATCTTGACATGGTGCAAGCCAACTGGGTCAAATGGGAGAAGGTTCTTGAGGGCAGTTCTTACTCCAAGTGCACAATAGATTTTCAGCCATCTGTAGAACAAAATCCATAAGGATGAATTGATAATGTAAAAGAATGATGAATCTGTATAATCCACTGGTATCTGATGATTGAAGCTCAGGGAGATGCTGGATAACTCACTAGAGAAACTGGTGACAACTTTTTACAATGGTTCAGAACCCACACACCTTAGAAATCGAGTTGATGACAACTGCTTCGCTTGTCCTCCCCTCTTTCTTTTTATTAGGGGGCTTTTCTTGGGTTTTTCCCATGACTTTGCTAGAATTTTTAGTACATCGAGACCAATAGTCAAAATTTCGCTCGTGGGTTCTGGGTGACAAATTGAATGTGTTACCTCCTACAAGGAAACAAGTCTGTGGGAAACAGTTTTAATTGTCTTTGACAATTAAAACTGTTTCCCACAGACTTGTTTTTTTTTTTTGATAGATTGATAAATTTTTTTCATTTTGTCTCTCTAAAATTTTCCTAGAACAAACGTCAAACAAAAGGGCCCTTCATCACATTCGACTCTCACACATACCACTTTATTTTGAAATAAAAAATATTTAGGATTTCACGACATGTGTGAATTATGTTTTCTTTTTGCATCTTGGATGCTCAATAACTAAAAAACTGTCTATTTATTTGTTTTTATGCCTACGGAAACTTGATTGGGACCACTAAAATTCTAAAACAGATTGATATTTGATTAAATTATATTTCAATATTTTACATATACATGGTGTATTTACACCACACAGCTGTATTTATATGAAATAACTAAGAAAAAACATTTTGTGTCAGTTAAACCACAGTATGATCTTAGTAATCCAGTATATATGGGACTTGACCATGTCAGCTTAAAGAGATTGCTGGACTATTGGAAGTAAGGCGATTTCAATGAAACGTAAAGGAGTTGCCAGCCTAGAGTAAAATGTTAACGATGCAGCAAAACACAAGTTAGACTACTGATCAAAATAATCAAGCACAAGTAATCAATTTTTCCAAGTTGGGTGGATTTCTACCAAATTTAGTGAGATGTACTGTACAGTACAGTATTTTTGGTGGAAAATTTTGGGAAACTGTACCTCTTTCAAGCATTCTAAGATGGCAAGCCTAACAATCTTTAATATTGTGCCGAAGCTCGAGCATTTAAGCTTGGGCTTGATATCATACGGCATTTAGTGGGAAAGCATTCAAATTTAGTAAGGAGTTTGAACTAATGGGAAGGTTGTAAGACTTGGCCATTAACTTAACAAAGTCAACTAGTGTTAGATTACTGGATGTGTTAAACTAGTGAATGGCTGGATTGTCAAGATCATACTGTATTGACAAATTAGTAAGTAACATAACTTCAGTATCCAAAAAGTACTTAAAAAACTTAAATGAAAAAGTAGAATGACTAAAGATTTAGTGCTGAAGACATTAAAAAAGAAAAATTCTACTTAAATGAAGCTTCTGAAGAAATTACTTGTATAAAAGAAAGTTTGAAGTGTAGAATTTTTCTTTAATGGATGATATGTCAGTGCTGTAATTTTGAGTAATAATTACCTAATAAAATAAAACAAGATTTACTAATAAACTAATTCTACACACTTCTGTTTACATGTAAGAAACATAATAAGTATTCATTAGAATAAATAGTTGGAATTGAATAACTGACATTGGAATGAATCAATTATCTGATTACCAGATATACCTCAATATAAATCTTAAAAATATAATGTAGTGGCATATAGATTAAATTATTTTTAAAAATAATAATATAATTGTAGAAATTTACTTTGTAATGCTGTGTGATATATTAATTCTTTGAATTATAATGCATCAGTTAATTTTGAAAGTTTCTATACAAGATCATCAAGATCCATTCATTTCAAGTTAAGAATTTCCTTTAAGAATCAATAAGATACCAAGACTTTGTTAAATAGACATCCAGACTCTCCTATTTCTGCCCTCCGGAAGCATTGTTTTGGAACATTTGAAAAATTAAACTTTATAGTCATGCATTGTTGCAAGCATTTATTCATTTTATTCTGATTAAAAATCATCATAGAACAAATGTTACAAAGACTGCAAAACTAAACAAGTACTGTATTTTCAATGTGATTCAATAGTATAGGCCTATATTAATTCAGTAAAATTATTTGAAATGTTACTATTATATGATATATATGATCATCATTTAATAAAATTTTCAAACTTTGTTTTTTTTACAAACTTTTAGAGCTTTAAAAAAAAACTGTAACAATGCCAAATATCCTGATCTGTATGGACATTACAGAGAAGCAAAATTCACTCAAACTAAGCATCATTGGTGGTGGAAGGTATGTATTGTTTTTTTAGTTAGAAAATTTAATTATTATAATTAAAAACCAATTTTCTTTTTCATTAATTTGAATATATTTAGTCAAAAAGATTATAGATTATAATTTTAATAGTTTGCATTTAATATTATACTAAACATATACTGTAATTACTTTTATGTAATAAAGTTATGAATTTATTTTCTATAATATGTTTTTACCTTCTGTTCCTTTATTTAATAACAGCACTAGTCTGTGAATTGAAATCTTGGGATCATTGCCTCAACCTAGTAAATTGATTAACTTTATGTTAATCAATTTACTAGGTTGCACTAAAGTTGGTGCACCAAATTTGAAAATCAAATATACTTATTGCTATATCACGTATTGAATGTTCGCAAAATTTCTATGATCATATTATACAATTGGATGCAGAATTTGTGAATTTTATTAGAAATGCATTAATACTTTGAACATATTATTTTTGATGCCAAACAATCTGCCAGATTATTAGGCTATTGTTCGGCGGCATTATTTAAATATTGAATTAGTGGATTTATTGTTTATACATATATAGTATTTTTAATCCAAACCTTAAAATTTAGCACAGACTAAATAAAATAAACACAAAATGTTGAAAGTAAATGATACAATGTCTATATAATTCACAATTCACTAATTTTGGTTTAATTTGATATATGATATATTCCAATAAACCAATAAATAAATAAATGGCCAGAAACAAAAGAGAGACTAGCATAATATGACTTTCACTTTAACCCTTTTTTGTTATGCAGATATCATTCATTCTTTGTGACATTTTTTTTCTTCTCACAAAATGATATCATATAAACATTAGTAGTTCAATATCAAAAAAATCCATATATGGTAGGACTTTTCTGGCCTAGATTTTGGATATATTATGATGGCAATCCTTAACAACATTAAAATGTCTGCATGCAATGAATTTGTCACTGACTAGTTTAATTACTAAAATTCTATAATTTCTATTTTATTCGTATAATTTCTGGTATGCTTACTAGTAACACTTATTTATTGGAATTTTCTGAGTTAGTGTATTCAAAAGCTACTTATCAATTTTCAATGCAATTTTCTCCATAATAAGCACACTTTTATAATTTTCTGACACATAATTTTCTGACACACTAAAGTATTTAAATTGCATTTTAAGTTGGTAAGTACAGTAGAGCGTTGATTATCCAAATCAATTGGGGACTGGGGTTGTTCGGAAAATTGATATTTCAGATAACCGATTATGTACAAAAAAATATATTAACCTATCCCATGTTGAAATTTTTCTCCATTGCATGTCGCTTCGCGTTGAATTTTCGTTGATGTTAAGCCTAACAAAGACTATTGTATCGTTAAAAATTATTTTTTTATTTTGTACAAACAAAATAAATATATTGAAAAATATAAAAACAATAAAAAATTATACTTCAGAAGTTAATTTAGTATCAAAAACGTAAAATATTTGAGTAGCCCAAGACATAGCCAAAGATTGCAGTGCCACAGCATTGGCAAAAATTTAAATTTGCGACTGGAATTCTTTCGGATAATTGACTTTCAGATAATTGACGCTCTACTGTATCTTATAAACCATCCTCTAAATAATTCCTGTAAACGTCTTTACACAGCATGGACAACCAACATTGTGTATGCAATCAGTATTTCTTGATATTGATTATATATACAGTTAATATTATGTTTGAGTTTAGTATCTTTAATACTAATAACAAATTTCTTTTAATAACTTCAGATGAATCATGTAATGGATGTTTTATTTATAACAAGAAATCATTCGGGACCCGTTTTATTGTTGGAAGAAGATCATTATGTTGCACCCGATTTTCTAGTGATGTTGAGTCTAATGGAAGCAGAACAAAAACAGTAAGCTCCAGTTTTTTACTAATACTAATATATTCTAATATATATATATAGTTACACTAAACTAATATACACTCTATCTCCTTAAGAAAGCAGCTGCGTTGTTTTAATTATTTTTTCATACTAAAAGTTTTGAAGCAGTTCCTTTTTCCAATTCAGACAAAAAATTTTAATTGTATAATTCATTTCTATTACTTAAATAATATGAAACTTATTACATTGAATGTTTTTTATTTTTTCTTTTAATTTCTTTGAGTGATAGATAAAGTTTCATCTGAAGGATATTTTCAAATTCTGGGTGTAACTCTGATCAGATTAATTTGAACAAAGTTAACTTCCTCAAAGTAATTTCTTGTTTGGATATATGATACATGGCATTTTTTAAATAATTAGTCAAATATTGGCATTTCTGAAATTATCCATCAATATGAAGTAAAATAATTATGATTCTGTAATCCTATTTTGAGATTTATTTTACTTATTAGAAATGTTAAGAAGCATTATAAAATTGATATTTGACTTTTAATAAAAGGATATAAAGGATAATTTTTACATTAACAAAAAATATTTTGAGATGGGGAAACAGGAAAACAGTGTGAAAATATTTTTTGTTTGCCAGAACATGAACAAAAACTTAGTAGAAAAATATTACAGGTTTTGTTCTGCAATTTTATTTTATTTTGACCAATTAGGGTACAGGCTTCAATGAATGTTACGAAATTTACTTCCTGGCAATCTGAACCTACTTAATATAATAAAAATGGCCAAGCCTATTGAGAAGAGAATGAAATGATAATTCAAACTTATTTTTTGAAAAGATTTTGAAATATTTGTCTTTGATTTAAATAAATTCTAATTAGGAATAATGTTGGTATTTACCAAATGATTTAAGAAATTTGACTTTTTGTCATCAGTTTTCTTTGAATTTTTGTAAATGGATGTACAAGAACACAATACAATGAAATTCCGTTTGCAGTTTTCTGCTATAAAGAAGGCAATGAATATAATATACTGATAATTTTGCTAGGAGTTTTAAAACAACTAAATAATTTATAATATAGTCAAACCTGAATTGTGTCCAAAATAGTTCCATCTTCAAAATCTGCCTACAAATACTTATGGACCAATCTCATAAATGTTAAATAGAGAACCTTTCAGTAAATTTGAAGTACAAAACATATGGTTTTGTTTTGCAAACAGCATTATCATCAAATCACAACTTTTCAGCTCTCAAACTTGTATGTAGAGAGAGACTACTATACACAGTTCTCATTATTTGTAATACTTCAGCTTACTGCTATATAGTTTACAACTAACTTCAGAGGTAAAGAAATACTGGCACTAAATTAAGGTTAGACTGTGTTTATAATTTATTATATCATACAGTAGGACATAAATTTTTAAAAACTTATAGAGAAGAGAGAATTAATAGAAATATATTGCTTCACTTCACATTTTCTCGTAAATTGGAAAGTAGCCTTAACTTCTGATGGCAGAATGTTTTTGTTATGAATAAGATGTGAAAATTAAAGCTAAAAATTATTAAGAGTGTAGTCTTGGAACACAGAGAAAATAAATCAGTGTTTCTCAATGGGGGCGATATTGCCCCCATGTGGGCATTTTTCCATGTTGAGGGGGCTATTAGTAACAATTTATATTTTGGGGGACAAAAAACAACTTTCTGGGTGATATAGTAAAACATTATATTAAAAATAATTAGATGTTTTATTCATTATATCGTACAATAATTAAACAAATAACATTATACTAGTCACTAGTCTATTCAATGCAGTACGAATTTGGCGTTAGTTGCCCTGGGCATCGGAATTTTGAAGTGAAGGGGGCGACGATTCGTTAGAGGTTGAGAAACACTGAAATAAATGGTGATCTGATGATCCCTTTTGGGCAGATTTTGTCTTCATTTTTTAAACAATAATTCTCCAAAGAAAAAAATTTACAGAATAAAAATTATGAATTAGTAAAATAGTCCTTAGCAAAAAAACTACTGTAATTCTATTTATAAATAGAATGCAAAATAAAAATTAAACATATTGTAACAT